GCGTTTCGGATGCAGCGCTGCAGCCTCTCCTGTGGCCACGAGTAACGTGGGAGCAGCATCAGATGACATACCATCCTGCTCGCTCTTCGTCATCTTCTTCTGCTTCAGCGAATCCACCACGTCGGCCAGGCTTCCCTTGCGACGCTCAGGCGTGCCGAAGGCGGAGCCCCCTAGGACATCGCCGCGCTCCCGGACCCCCTCCTCAGGCTTGTGCGGCGAGGTAGAGTTATTCCGGAGCGAGTAGAGGGAACACACTTTATTGCTGTCAGATTCCTGCAAGAGAAGGCAAGCCGGGAGGGGCGGGGAGACGGATTTACCGTTTGTCACTCTGATTCCATATTCAGCTACGTCACCCCCTCATTGCAGGTCACTGGACCCGAATTAATGGTCCAGTTGCCACGGTGCAATTCAATCAGTATTCTTTGGCACAGGGAGACTGAGATTAAACCATCGGATCCTGGCAGCCATGCGATTTCATTTCAATGCCAAACCAAATGTCCTGGCAAATTAGGTATGGTATGAGAGCAAGAGGGGCTGTAACGACATGGTTGTGATCGGGGGGGGGGGTGCAGTTTTGTGTGCGCCCTACTTCATGCTGCAAATATGAAGCATGACACAAAATGAAGTGTACACACAGAAACAATGGCTGGTCTGCAGAACGGTGATTCCTGTAACGGCTGGTTCCCATCTAACACTGAGCGCAGGATAAAGGTCTAACCCAACCAGTCTGTGCAATCCCAGTTTTCCTGACTGTGTCCCATGTTTGTGCAGGTCATTGTTTACTTTGGATGGTGCCCTCGCCTTGGACCCTGTTCTGCAACTGGCAGCCAACCCTGATCCACAACCAGAAATCAGTCCCAGACCTGAAACAAGCCAGTCATTTAGCGAGATGCAGAGAGGGTACATTTTCACTATGGAAACAAGGGTCCGCCTGATTGGCTGGAGAAGTGACCCAAGATGCACGACTTCATGCAAGTCGACTGAACTCAAAGCGCTGCAGTTGATGCTGATTTTTTACTGGATCTATCCCAAAAGTTCATGGGCTAATCGGCATCAACACATGAGGAGACACAGTCAGCCCCCTATGAGCCACCTTCTGAGAGGCAGCCACTGAACAGCTGAATTCACTTCACAGGGTGATGGGGGCAAAGCTCGCCTAGACCGCCAAATGGGCTTCAACCAGTACTGGCTGTACATCCCATAAGTCATGAAGGAGATCCATGCGTCACCGATGAGCTGATCCATGAGCTGCTAATCCCCATGAACGGCCCGGAATGGGGGTCAGAAAGGCGGTCAGGGATGTCCAGCTCTGGCTCAGCCCATGTGCTCAGGTCCTAACGATGTTGTCCTTCTGGGAGTGGCTGTTGGGCTCTGGAACACGCACCGCAAAAACAGTCAATGCGGCTACGGGGTGGCGGCCTATTTCTGATGCGCCATCTGCACATACGTCCATCAAAGAGCCTCTGTACCAGCTGACCCTGCCTGGACACCTTCTCAGATGACACTGCTTAGACATCTATTCTGTCTTCTGGTGACTCCAGCAGTCAAACCTTCCCCGACACCCTATCCGTAGCCCCCTGACAAACCCTGTCTCTCTACCGATTTGCTCCGTGTTACTTTATTTCTCACTTTCGCTTTGTCCTTTGATGGAAAGGGCAGGCAAGCCGTAAGCATCAGTCAATTACATTTCGAATGAATAAAACAACATTCCGGCAGCTCCTGTCCATCGGCTTAGACTCTACCATATAAAAGCTTAACGTAAGACGCAACTAAGGTATCAGACTGATCATACTGTGTGCACCAGCAGAAGGACAAGGAAGAGAATGTATCTACCATCTTCTAAGCACTTATTCCAGTCTGGGTCATGGGGGGGCTGGAGCCTATGCGGGGCAGCACTCATCGTGGCTGGGGGCGCCAGCTCACCATAGGGCATATACAGTATATGCACAGACACTAGTGCACTATGGGCAATTTGGAGATACCAGTGAGCACAACCGCATGTTTTTGGACTGCAGGATGAAAGCTGCATGTCCCAGGGAGGCCCTGCACAGGCCATATGGAAAAAGCACAGAGCTGAGTTTAACAAGAATGGGTGAATGGAGAAATCGAATCACAGTGCAGGAGAATAAGCCGTTCAGATAATGACATTCTGTAAATTCTGATCTTTAAATTCCAGCTAGACAGAGAGGGCGGGGCATAGGCTTCCTGTACTTTGGCGGCTCTCTCTCATTGGTGATTTGTTCACTGGTATATCCACTGTGGGCCTTTACATCCGTCCACGTGACCAGCCTGGATGCTGCTATGCATGCTGGGCTTTCAGATTGTCGCCACTGTGCGACGCAGAACGCAGGCCTCCTGGTTCCTCCTCATCTAGCTCAGCTAATCCCTGGCGTTCCCAAGGCGCGCCGAGAACTTTACACATGCCTGGGGGTAACTCCCGAGCACACTGGGCTGAGCCATGATGCCATTCCCATGCTCCCTGGGGTGGGGGGCGGGGGGGTCGGCGTGTTCGCTCTCAGCTGTTTATAGAAGGACAGCGTCAGGCTCCGCAGTCTGGCTACACAGAGAGGGTCATCAGGGGGGGTGGCGAGGATCAGCGGACAAGAGGCTTTCTGCAATATTACTTGAATCTGTGGTCAACAATGACCTGCTATGGTTGAGCCTAAGCTTCCTGCTCTCTGGCCTAAAGAAATCTCCTGGAGGGGTGGGGGCGTGTTCCTAAGTGGAGGGTGAGTGAGGGAAAGCGTGAGTGTGTGTGTGTGGGGGGGGGGGGGATTTGCATAGATCACATTTGGGGACCAAAATGTCCCCAAAGTTTGGTAAACCTGAAGCTTCCTTATATTTGGGGACATTTTTCAGGTTCTTATTTGGATTTGAACCCCAGTCTTATAAAAATCTGTGAATGTAATCAGAAAAGTAAAAATACCAGATGTCTTCTACGTTTGGTTACTTATCATAAAGATTAGGGCTGGGTAGGGGTTAACGGTGTTGTGATTGGGATTACGGTTTTTCCCCAAGAAAAGAATGTAAGGTCCCCATTTATATAGGTGCGCCAACATTGTGTGTGTGTGTGTGTGGATTATGTTTATATTACATTGTGGGGACCAAATGTCCCTCACAATGTGATAAAAACCTGCTACTTTGACATTGCGGGGACCATTTTTCAGCTCCCCAAAATTGCAATGTGAATGCAATCAAAAAATTTAAAATGCCAAAAGTATGGTTATGGTTAAGGGTGGGTAGGGGTTAAGGTTGCCATGTGATTAGAGTTTTCCCCCATAGAAGTGAATGGAGAGTCCCCACAAATATATACTTACAAACCTGTGTGTGTGTGTGTGTGTGTGTGTCTGTGAGAGAGAGAGAGAGAGAGAGAGAGCGCGGGATTGCACGGACATGCTGCACATGCTGCACATGCTGCACATGCAGACCCCCACGCCCCCTCACCATGCGCTGCTGGGCTGCCATCACGCTGTTCCAGTCACACTCGGGGGGCACGCTGCTGATGGCCGGCTGCTCCTCGGGGTGGGCCTTGCCATGCAGGCTGTGCAGCGGCATCCGGGGGGGGCCGTGGGGCTCCACGCTCTCCTCCCTGTCCCAGAGCAGGCGCTCCTGGCTCCTGGCGTCCTCTCCGTCAGCAAACGGAGAGGTGGCTTGCTTGGAAGACATTACTTTGCTGCAAGGGAGGACACCGCGTTCAGTGACTGCACCACGCATGCGTTCATGGCCAAGGAAGCGCATTAAACCTTGAATCGGCGCCCGACCCAAATGGCACAGCTCGCAATCCTACGGGCTGTGCTTCAATTTATTTTACAAGAAATAAACATTGAATTCCTTCAATTCAGTATCCAGCCATATATTTTACTAAAAGTTTAATATAGTTTAAATCTGTGTAAGTGTCTTCAGAAAAGTCTACTGGGGTTCAGGCTAATGGGAATGAGGTTGAGGCCATGGTTCCTGTCTTACTGCAAAGGTGTGCTGTGATTAGGTCTGCAAATCCCAAAAGTTCTCTGATCCACAGCCCATATTCACTCATGAGGTAATGTGAGGGAGCGTCTCCTTCACCATAACCTGACACAAGCTCTGTATGAGGATTCTCTTTAAATACACAGCCCACATATAACTGAAAGTCAGTTTAATGTGAGATTTGGATGTTGCAATACACCATTTCAGCTGATAATGAAAAAATCCATAGGATTATTAAGTAGATTATTAAGCAGATTCCCTCATGGTATGAATTTCAGAACCATTCCCTGGAAGTTAATCATAGATATTTTGCTCTTACCTCACACAGTAATTTCTTAAACCAAAATATGGTGAAAATCTATCAACTCCCACACAGTGTAACATCATAAATTATAGCAGAGTCACTCCAAATGCCACATTTTGCAACTGATCATGAGAGATATGGCACAAAGAGCTCTAGAATCCGCAAGCAGCATTATGGGATCAATCTTTTGTCTCATTCAGGCGCACAGAGGATCGTACTTGCTGGGTCAGGTGGAATGGCATCAAGTTTCAACTTACACTTCCTAAATTTCACTTGAAATGGTGCTTTTATGTTTGCACAGGATTTATAGCTAATTCTCCTAATTCCCCTTCTTCTTGGACTTAATAAGGATGTTCCTGGGTCATGTCCTGCAGTGAACGGAATTAATATAAAGTCAACTAATCTAATTAGGTACTCGGGGATAATAAGCATATTACGCCGCTTTGCAGAAACGTCCTTTTTGTGTCTTGGTTCTGTGATTTTCTTTAATCTGTGTTGAACATCTCACAATAAAAATGTTACACGTGACCCTGGACCCCAGCCAAGCAGATCTTCCATTGCTATGGATCAGCTTTCCGTCAGAAAGTCTCGGGAGGTCCCACAACGAGAGGAACCCTCAGAGGCTTTGCGAGTCAGCAGGGCAATTTCTGGGGGGCAGATCAGACGAGGCTGGTTGTACTCTGTGGCATGATGTCGCCTCTGCCCAGCCATCTTGGGGGGGGGGGTGAGCTGGGTAATGGGTAATGGAACAGACCCAAGACACTCCAAACTTTTCCAAGCCTGACGTCCTGCCAGGTTTGCGGCGTGGGGTTCACCAGAGGGTGAAGACAAATTTGACACCAAGAGATATTATTTTAACACTAAACCACGAGTTAATCTGTCCGCGCGTGCGCGGGGGAACCCACATCCCCCCAGCCAGGATGAGCCAGTCCCTCTGAAGTCCGTCTCGTGTCTGTGCAGCCGGTACTCTGACATCGGGCTTACAGCGGTGTGACCTGCTAAAAACAGCCACACGTTTTGTCCAGGCTGGACGCTGGCGCGCACTTTGCAGTGCGCAGCTCTGTGCCGTTATGCATTGGGATTTTCGCCGTGGACAAATGGACAATGGCAACATATGTTAATGTCAGAGGCAGGTGCAGCTGTGCAAACAGCTCCAACCTGTCAGTACGCAGAAGCCGGGGACGCAGGGCCTTTCCTGCATGCGTGGCTGCTTTCTTAAGCGAGACAGAGCCCTCAATTTTAATCAGCCAATAAATCGCTTCCTGTAATTACATTAAACAGAAAATGATCTGGAAATCGAGCGCTAATTGAAAAATCTAAATTCAGGGTGAGGCTGGGGGCTCCGTTGGCCCAGCGCGACCATGACTGAGCATCGACAGGAACTCGTGTGCATTACGGTCTTGGGGCCGAGCTGCCGGATCCACATGGGGCAGAGGGCACCCCTTTGGGCCCAGAGGGTAAATGAAGAGGCGCTATTTCAGGCTGAAAAATCCTCCATCATCGGTGTGAGTTGCTGTGTGTTTAGCAGAGGTGGGGGGGGGGGTCCAAAGGGGAATGACAAGGAGGGGCGGTGGACCCCAGAAACAGCAGCAATGCAGGGAGATGCAACAGATATTTGTTAGTAATTTAGAATGAGAGTCAGTAATTTATCAAAAGTGCTGAGGAAAGAGATGTGGGGGTGAGGGGGGAGGGGACACTGGTTGGGCACACGGATGAAAAGTGAGCATGGCTCAGATGGAGTCATGAAGCAAGTG